TCACGATTTTCATTACATTGCCGACTATTTATGCAAAATAATTAAAGGGTACAAAACCAATTAAGTACATCTATCCATACCTGAGTAGGTCTTAAAATTGCTCCATCCCAAAAAAATAAAAATAAATAATTCTAAGGGAATGTTAAGAGTGCTTCACTTAAAATTAATAAAATTCTCTTTATATATATATTTAAAAATAAGTTATATGGGAGAGGATAGTCTTTTTTTTTTTTTTTTTCATATTCCTCTCAACCTTATTCAAGGTTTGTATTTAAGATTTTCAATTTAAAATTTCAAACTCTTAACTAATTGGACCACTTTTAAGAAGTTCTTTGCTTTTTTATTTCTTTTTCTATATTCCATCCCCATATTTTTCTTTCTTCAAAAAAATATCAACATTCATCTAGAGCACTAACTATAATGTGTTCTGCAACACACCCACATATATACATGGCCAAAGCCCCTATTTGCACCCTCCATTTATTTTTTTTCCGCGGTCAACACCTTTCAGAATTTTTCCTCCCTATTCACACCCTCCACTTTTTAAAACCTGTGAAAAACTTAATATTTTAACGGGCCGTTACGGCACCGTTAATAACCGTTAAAAATTGTAATACGTGGCATTAAACAGTAACATAATCCAATGTGAACTTTTTTTTTTTTTGATGATATGGCATAATTAAACCATAATTAATTTTAATTTTTTCATTTTCTTCTTTCCCGCATCATCTTTACCATCTTCCTCTTCATCCTCCTGGGTTCCTCATGGAACCAGGAACCCAGAACTTTATGTCACATTTATTAATCCAATGTTGGACTTTTTTTTATATGTGTTATAATTAAATCATCATTAATTTTAATTTCTTCATTTTCTTCTTTCCCGGCATCATCTTCACCATCCTAGTCCTCATCCCCTTAGGTTTCTCGCGAAACCCAGGTTCTGAGTTCTTCGTGGAACCTAATTTCACATGAATGCCTACCAAGCTAAGATTTTCATCCACACAATTATAAGTAAATGAATACTGCACAAAAACATGATAAGCATCTTCTTCTCCTTTCCCACAAAAAACGAAAAAAACTCAAATTGGCAACCTATTCAGAAACAATCTCTAAGCAAAAAAACTCACCTTTCCAACAAAAAAATTATTCCAAATTGCTTTGCATAAAATCGGAAGCTAAGATAAATACATTTAAAATAAAATAAAATAAAATAAAAGGTTGGAACTGGGTTCCTCGCGGGGAACCCAGTTTCTGGGCTCCTCGCGTGGAACCCAATTCA